AAAATAGGCCCACTAGCATTAAATTAAAATAAAATGAGAGTTCATCAGCGCCACCAAAAATAAAATTATTACTATTTTTCTTGTGACTGTATATAAATTACTTCAATTTTGAGTAGGTCGCATAATATGCAAAATGCAACAGTTATCTATTTCATCGAAAGCATTCAATAAGGACTGTCTTTCAGCCTGTCTGCATGCCATAATATCTGTTTTTTGTCTATTCATGTTTGTCTTTCTATGCCTATTCGTGCACATGTACAGTTTTTTTTAAGTAGGATGAAGTAAGCCTACCCAACGGCTGATTCGCCGTCTAACCGATGAAAACTGAGCACATTCCAAAAGCAAAATAAGTCAACGTTTCCACAATTTTTAGCATTTTCGCATCAAGTACGAACAGCACCAATAGTTGCGAGTATGAGTGAGTCTACATGCCGATTTAATTTGCAACTTGAGCACACAAGGGAAACTGTTGAAACGTCGAGCTGTCTTATTCTCCACTCATTAGACCGATATGAGAACGGCACTCCCATCTGCCAAGACGGGACATGTTAGCGACTCGCAGGATACTTGGAACATGAGGCTAAAGTGGGAAGCAAGCCGAAACTGGCACTATGCACTTGTCGTCGCCAGCCGACGCCCTCATCATCCTCGTCGAGTCGGGCCTCTTCAAAAGGGTCGCGCGTGGTGGTAGGGATGGCATCGCATTTGAGCCGGAAGAGAAATCTCTGCACCAGTCATGAAGGCCTACATTTTTTGCTACACCAACGGGGTGGTTTTCATAGGCGGCGCACAGACACAGACACATACCGACAACAAGATTGGGGAAATAACGCCCGAGGCGGCAAAATTGGAATCGTGAGGAGGCTGAGGAGCCATCACAGGGTCGGATAGAAAAAGGAAGTGTGGGTTCGAGTCTGCTCACAGGCGTAATTGCTTGTGTGTGCTGATTAGGAAGTGTATGAAACAATGACGCGTGAACAGGTGTCCTACTAAATGATGCATTGTATTCATCTGACCTGACGAAGCCTCAATGATCCACGTCCGTGGAGGTTGGCTCTTCTTCACCTCTGGGGGCAAGCAGATGGTCAATTTAAATTATTCATAATCGTCGGACCTGTTTGTCCATCCCCGCAATTGCCTGTCCCAGCAGGCCTCATTTCTCCCCTTTTCCCACCTTGCCCCGATTACACTGCCGAAGGCCCAGGGATCGGAACGGCCAGATACCACTTATCGGTTCATCAAGCAGACCTCAATCCTATAGAGATATGGCTGGGAAATATGCATGTATAATGCAAACCTGGGCAACCGCAGGAAGAGGTGGAAAGAATCGAAGTCGCCGTTGGCAGCCCCAATGAAGCGAGGGAGGGGCAAATATGAGAGTAGAAAGGAGGCAGGCATTGGCGGCCATGATAGCGATAAAAGGCTCTTGAGAATGGTCAATTTTAAGTGTTGCTGGCACGAGGAGAGGGAAACTAAAGTCACCCGATTGAATTGGTGCGTGATCTTGAAATGCCTGCTGGCGGAACGGATTAATCACAAGTTTTCTTGCATTTCATTTCTGTCTTGAAGCAAATTTTGCCCAAAGCATTTACTGTTCCTTGCATACAAATAGTCGTACTTGCCCTCCAGAAGTGTGTGCCTGTGTGCGTGTGTGTATGTGTGGTCGACTATTTCGGCATGATAGCTCACATACACTTTTAGGATGGACAATTTGGATTGGTTAACATTTTAGCATATGTATGGGATTTAGTGAATCAGAAGGTACATGCTGACAGCTCTGTATTTAGCTAAATGGTACCGATGTTTGGAGTGATAGCAGACAACGTTTCTTTTTAATACAACTTTTCTCATCCCAGGTTACAAAATGGTGATTATTGACTTTAGCCACTGATTAAATACCGATCCTTCATCATTTCAAACGAAATAGGATGAATACATCTCATATCTGATTAAATGGTAGTCTTAAAAATCAAGAAGCCTTTCCTATATTTCGCTAGATATGCAGTAAATCATAAATATGACAAGTATTTAACCTATTTTGTTTAAGGTGTTACGGGTCTGTAATTGAATTTTCCCACAATGAGATTAGTAGACCTTGCGTTTTTATTTAATTTCAGATAGCCTTGCTTCGCAAAGGATATTCTAATCCATGCTGAATTGGACTGTAGTTTTAACCTCGCCTATGTCTAATTAACAACCCCCGGCTGGACTCGAACAGTGACACGGCAGCATATTATCTCGGCCACTACGTCAGATTGCTACTATTGCTCTTGGTTTACAGAGCAGATGTGAATTTTAAGAAAGGCTAGCCATTTTCCCAATCGTCTACTACATTTTATAAATAGACTTAGGAGACCTAAGCAAAGTCAAAACTGCAGTCCACTCTGGATGAGAATACCTTTTTGTAACTACTTTCCGACCCACAGCATATATGACTTTCAAGACAAGCCATGCCTCTTCGAAATCCCACGTGATGGAACTAAGGATAGCGAAGTATGTATGTATAATGAAAACCCGAGCAATCACAGGAACAGGTGGGGAGTGGCGAAGACATGTTTGTAAGCCCAAATGAAACAAGTGAGAGGCAAATATGAGAGTTACAAAGGGAAGCTTGCATCTACCACTGCAATCGACTTCATTACTAAAACATAGTGAGTAGACTTTGAGTAGGTTGGGTATAAGGACCATAGGTCGCATGAAATGGTGTAAGGTTGATTTGAAAATTTCCCAAGATGAAATCACATGGAGTTATGAATTTACAAACCAACGGGTCTCATAAACACTCCGACCGCGTGCGTCAGGTGACAACTAGTTGTCATGGTGTTTAGTAGGATTGACGATATAACAAACATGTATTTAACATAGACTGCCTTACTAAATGAGTGGGGAATATACTTGAGACTATAAGTAAATTTTCTAGAGGTGGTATAAAATGGTATAAGAGAGCCATTTAATCTAGCTTATATCTTGCCATTGAAGTTCTTATTACCTGCTTCTAACATGATTTATAAGCGGATCATGAAGGAAGATTCAATATGGGAATTAAAACTATGCTTCCTTTCGGAACGGTATACAAGAGCTATTACTGGCGCTGTAGCAGTAATAATGTACTGGGAACATTCCCGTCGAGGGTGCTGAGGTCGAAACTGCGGTCTAGTTCAGCCTGGAAGCGAATACCTTTCGAGCGGCAAGGCCAGCGGAAATGGCATCGTAAAATGTACTCACGTGGAAAAATCTAAATATCAGTACTCCGTTACATGCTGATTTCAGTTCATATTTAAACGATCACAATCGACTGTGGCAATATGAATAAGTAGATTTTTAGTAGCAAATTAGTAACTTTTGGTCGCATGATGATCCATTTTTTCATACTGAACCATCAGGATGCTAATGAAACTCAAAATGGCAGACTGTAAATTTGAACTAGAATAGCTTCAAAGCCGGATTATGGAGGACAATATGGGAAATTTAACCATCCTTCCCAGCATCACTTTGTTCAAGAGCTACTGCTAGCCTTTGAATCTACTCGTTATCCAGACGAAAGTGTCGAAATCATTTCGCTATCACCCGACCACTGGTTGACCCCTGCTCGTGGACTTCCTCGCTTGCCAGAGTCCATTGAAATGGATGAGGAAAAGTAGCAAACATGTTGGCATTCCTGCTGCTTATCTTAGCCTATTGCCTCTATTTCCTTCGCACATTCATTCGCATAACCTGAAAAATCGTTTCTTTTCTCTCATCATTTTGGCCCTCAGCCAACGGCTTGGATCTTTCCCTTTCGGGCAAGCACTCGAACACATACAATACTCTCGACTTCGGCCTCCTGTCCGGCCAACTTGCCTCTCCCCCTTTGGCCGCCTCCTCCACTTCCGCCTTCACCTGTGTCGTCAGATCGCAGACTGGTCAACATGTCTCCTCGGCCGGACTGTCGGCATCCACGCCTTCTCCAACCCCACCACCGTTGCCATCCTCTCTACATTCCACCTCGCCCGACTGTCAACTCCCAGCAGCTCTGCTGGCCGCAGCCTGTTCCTCTCCTCTCGAGTCGGCCAGCGCTGTCGGCCTCGGTGTCATGCAACAACAGCCTCATCATCATCATCATCATCATCATCATCACCACCATCAACAGCACCAGCAACAGCATCAGACATCTTCTGCTCCGCAGGGCTCGGACAGTCCGCTGGCCAGGCATTCGCCACTACAGGCGGCTGCATCCCTGTCCCATTTTGCCTCGACCATCTACCGGCCTTGCTCATCTCCGCCCCCCTCCCCGACCGCCTCTTCGCTGCCACTCGCTGGCCTGCATGTGACTCCCACTCAACATTCCCAATCCCCTTCTCCTTCTTCCTCCTCCTCCTCCTCATCCGCCTCCTCCGCCTCCTCCTGCCTCCCCAATGGCGCCCCATTCAACAGCACCCCGAACCATCGTCTCTCAGATTGGTCAACTTCAGCTTCATTTCCCAATCGCCTGCACTCGATCACCTCAGCCGTCGTCTCATTGGCCACCTCTCTG